TTGATTAACAGCCAAACCGGAGAACCCAAACGAAGAGCCCAACCATTTCGACAATCATAACGTGCTGTCCGTACCCCAAGTATCAACACCACGTGATGCATGGTAGCCGTGGGTAGGGATGGTATGGCGAGGCTCAGGCTTAGCACATCTGAAGGACTAATGACTGGGACGGTAGTATGCTATGGTCTGGTGGTCACTATCAGTGGTCACAGAGGCGTGTCTTTGCAATAATCGTTGCTTTTATGGATCCCAACAAATCATTTGCTGTCTGTTTCTCTCTGTACGCTATTCTCATGTTTAGCTGTTTTTTGCTAATCTATTGTCTAATTATAAAAGTGTTTATGTTTTTGCATATCAATTGTGATACTGTATTGTCTTTGTATTAACAAACTGTCTATATTTTAATCCAATGTTTTTTCTAATTTCTATTTTAATTCACTTTTATATTTCCATTCAAATAAAGCCCAAAACTTTATGACTAATACAGTATTTTCTGGTTTTTCACACAATTCTTGTCAACAAACCATTATTAATTAGTTTATTATTCATGAATTTCTGAGTAGTGTCTTAAAACCATATAATTTTGAATATTTTTATACACTTATTCGTAATAACTTTAAAATATCCATAGCTATCATTAATTAATACATTTAACAGTATTATAAGCACTTATATACAGTAGTTAGAAAAATAGAATATTTAAGATCAATTCCAATACAAACTTTATTAAATACAAACAAAAGTTTATTTTAATACTATTTATGTTCAAATTCTAACATAGATCTAATAATTAATGAATGCCTAAAACTTTTATTCAAAAAACTACTGTCAACATTTACATGAATCCATTCTGAAATATACTAAACAGTATTCAATATGAATGTGAACTCTTTCACCACCGACTTGCGAGTCTTTCCGTATAATCAGTATTTTAATTAAAACTTTAATTTATCAAAAATTTATAACTAATTGATATATGCATTGAAATGATTGCCAATGCTCACTTATCAATTGTTTATAACAAGTGAAATTCACTCTAAATATGTATGGATTTTGTTCGTGAAAATGAATTGAACGGAACTTTTGTTTTGGGAGCAAAACGGATATCCGAGTGTCAGTGCTCTACGCTATCGTATATGTCATATAAAATTTAATTATATTTATAGTTCATCGTAAACCGTATTAATACTATAATCATATAATCATAAATACAAGCCATAAAAGCCTAATAAAAGTTAATAAAAGTGCATATAAATAAATAAATAACTAAACTTAGTTACTAATTCATTCATCTATTCATAAAAAAGTTACATAACATTAATATAGAATTAGGAAATTTTCATGACTTTTCAAAATTAACGCTAAGTTTTTACAAAAAATACAAAAATTGATGATTTAATAAAATGTTCATGCTAAATATTCTCAAAGTTTAATATTCTCTCTCTCTCTCTCTCTCTCTCTCTCTCTCTCTCCCTACAAACCCAGACGTATATAATGAATGGATAGCTGCGATAAGGGGGTCCTGTAAGTCATATACAGTAGCTATACATACAGTGACTTCCCCTCACAAACCATAATAACGTCTCTTACATTGCAATATATGTGTCGATTGACGGCAAATAGCATGAAATAGTATGGCTTTCACGCACTGAATGGAGGCATAAGTCTCATCACTGAATGCATGGTATTGCTGTACACCGACTCCCATAGACTCTCTGTATTAGCGTTTTGTATGCAATGCAAGCGCTCAATGGTTTGAGACATTCATAGCATTGGCAGAGATGTGGTGTAAAGCAAATGCATTGAACACTGCATTGACTGCAAGAGGGAGAGAGAGAGAGAGAGAGAGAGACTTGTATTGAGAAAACATATCCACATATCCCCTGTGAATGCGAGCCAAAGAGTACTGTAATATAACCTCAAGAGATATAATACGTATAAATAGTACTCGCGATGAGGAGAGAGACGAGTGACTGATGTGTGATATAAACAACAAAATAATGTCAACTCTATTGCCATCCGATGGACACCAATGAGTGAATGCATGCCATTTGTCATCACTATTACGACGGGTGTTGTGCTAATCGTATGAAACAAACGGCTGTTTGGTGTCAAACAATAGCCAATAATTAAGTGTTTGTTGTGTTTGTACTGAAAAGACTGACAAAAACCCTGAAACACATCGAAAAACTCTCGGCATTTGTTTCGCGAAATCAACGATGAGTTGGGGCGAAGAGCTCTGGGTTTGTATGAATTGTCACCACTTTTTGAATCACTATTTAACCATTCATTCAGTGCTGTATAAAACCATTGATACATCGGATTTAACGTTCATGTATCCGCTAATGACATGCCGTTGAAAATGCATTAAAAATTGTTTATTTTAGACATTAGTCTCGTATGAGATGTCAATCAATAGTAGTAATAATTTGACGATTAATTGTTTGTTTTATATATAATTGTAACGAAATTGAAGCCTTAATTCATACGAAATGAATGTTTGATTTTTGATGAATTCATGAATTGGTGTCGAAATGCTATTTATTTATGTTACATATAATTATAGATTTTAATGGTATATATGCACTGAATGTATGCAATTGAATGTGTAATGCAATCCCAAACCACTACTCGTATTAATATTAGCCCTAAATCTAGCCATTAATTAATCAATGCTTTAATTCTCGTCACAAATGAGGTCTTCACTGAAACCCAATACTATTTGAGTGTATATTTTGGCCAAACATTTAAAAAGCGATTTCATTTGACGTCCAATGAGTTGTTTGATAGTATGAGTGAAATATATGTGACATAATGTCAATTCACACATAGTTTTAATGAAGTTGTTAGTCATATACGATATGAAATACAGTAGAGTGTAGTGAATGTCGTAAACATTCATATAATAATTGCCTAACTCTTATCAAATGCAACCAAACAGTGATTTGTTGTCAACTCAATACATAGGCACACAATAAATGCTATGATTTAATAGACTGTTTGCACTGAAAATCTCTAAATCATTAGACATTATATGCATCTCTCATACGATTCATTGAACCCAATATTTTTCTATTAAATACTTTATATACATTTTCGCTCATTGTTTAATAGACGCCGTGTTTTTGTCTAATCAATAATATTATGAAATATTTGTGTCAAAAGTGTCGTTTAAAGTGAGAGTTTTTGTCTCATTTTCCAATTAGTCTCAAAAGTTTGTATGCCTTTCAAGTGGTGATAAATATTTAGTTAATTCATTGAAGCGATTCATTCATTGACTAATGCATTGATTGATAGAAATGTGCGAAACAAATGAGTTTTGTGTTTGTTTTCCTATTATTAATAATTAACACTTTACACAGTATTAGTTTCAAACAATAAAAACACGATTTTGTTTGCCATTCATTTGCCTATGAATTGCATGACAGTAGATATCAGTCAATATGACAATCATTGGCAGAGATATTGCATTCATTGTAGACTAATAGCGATAGGATTACAATAAATTGTTTGCAATAAATAGTAGTTATATTTGATTGTGTTTTGTGTATATCAGGATCAATATGACAACCTCTCGGTGCAAACCCATAGGGGTATTGAGTTTCTGGACAAATACGGACAGTTCATCAAAGAGAGGTCTAATATAGAGACCGAATACGCCTCCAAATTGAGACGACTCGTCAAAACACATCAAATCAAGAAGAAGGATGACGAAGAGAGCCAGTAATTACATACCATTCCCTCACAGCAGAGATGATAGCATTCGCGGCAATCAATTAACAACTGATGTCTAAATTATTGACAATTATTTTATGAGGAATTTGTAGCCAAAAAATGTTTGATTGATTTGCCAGTGTTTAGTCATCTCTGATAAAAAACATGTTTAGATACTAATCGCTTGTTTGCATACATAATACCCCACAGACTGTCGGTGTGTAAGGCGTTCGCATCGATGACACAGGAGGTGACAGACCTGGCGGGTCAGCACGAGTTGATCGCCGAGAATATGTCGGCGCAGATCGTCAAAGAGATCGCAATACTCTTGAAAGAGCTGAAAGACGAGCGCAAGAGATACCTTTCGGAAGGCGCCAAAAATCAGACGGCGCTCAACAACGCGTTGACCGCATTGGACAAAGCGAAGAAGGCCTACGAGAAGGCATACAGAGAGGCGGAGAAGGCTCAGGACAACTACCAGAAGGCCGACGCGGACCTGAACCTGTCGAGGGCTGAGGTAGAGAAGGCACGCATGATCTCAACCACGAAGACCCAGATGTGCGACGAGTGTAAGACAGAGTACGCCAACCACTTGCAGAAGACCAACGAACTCCAGAGGAGACACTTCTCGGAACTGATGCCTAAGATATTCAATCAGCTGCAGGACATGGAGGAGAGGCGAGAGGCCTGCATACAGAACTTCATGAAACAGAGCGCACACATACACCGGCAGGTGTTCCCCATAATCGACAAGTGTTTGGAAGGTGTGATCAAAGCGTCCGAAACGATTGACCCGAAAGAGGACAGTCGGCAAGTGATAGAGAGGTATAAGTCGGGGAATATGCCGCCCGAAGACATTGCTTTCGACGACTTAAGTAACCCGAGACCGGAGTCGGAGAATGGCGTCCAGAGGGGCAGCACTTCCTTGAATTACTCCAATTCAATCAAATCCGAGACATTGAGGGGCACTCTGTCCGCCGCCCGCTTCAAGAAAAGGGGCGGAATTTTCGGCATTTTTGGCTCAAATAAGGTATTCATTCATTGACACAACATTTGAAACTTAGTTATCCATTAATACAGAATTTGTTTTTTATTTCATTATCTCATGGATTCCTGATTATCTCTTTTCCTGATTTATCTCTTTCTGAACTCTCCTTTCAATTGGTCTTTGGATTTAAAACAATATATTATTTCCCAAACAAATCATTATTTCCTCTATTCTTACACTTCTTGTAAGTAATAAACACAACAAACGCTCGCTTTTTAATGCTTTCGGTGTTTATCTCAATATACAAACTCTTGTCATTCAGAAACCTATTAAATTACTTTATGTTTTGCGACATTTTTATGATTTGCAATGAAATCTCATTTGTTTATATAATAGAAATGCAAACTAATGTGTGTTTTATTATTCATGAAATTCAGAACAATTCCGACGATTCAAAGGACGATTACGCGGATCTGCCGCCAAACCAGAGGCGGAAGCGAATTCAGGCCAAAATCGATCAAATCCACACTCAATTCCTTCAGGAAACGGCTGTCAGGTATAGACACCGCCACTCGAAAAGCTCTCCATTTCCCCTCCCATATCAACCACTGTTTACTCGATCATAAGCGCATACATTGTGTGTTTGGTTTGTGTATTAATATAAATATTTGCTTATTTCGATGGACGCGTCGATAGGGACGGCCTAATGAAGATGAGACAGGCGTACGAACAGAACAACGCGTTGGGGGACCCGAACTCAGTCGAGGGACAGTTATCCGAAAACGGCCAGAAGATGGAGAAATTGCAAACAGAGCTCAAAAAGTTTCAGAACCTCTTGCAGGACGTGGTGGACGGCAAGCCATACACGCCATCCGCTCAGAAGAAGTCGCACCGAAACAGCATATCCGAGGACTCGCTGTCGAGGAGCGCGTCCGAGTCGAGTGTCACCAATAATAACCACTCGAACACAAACCTTAACGCAAATAATAGCAATAGTAATGGCAATCATCGGTCGTCGAACTCATTACAGACAGTCATTAATCACACGAATCATAATAATCATGAAAACACACACGAAAACAACGAGTGAGTCTCCAATCGATATGTTTGTCTCGCGTTTGTCTCGAGTTTTAATTGTGGTTCAGTTCTAACAGTCCTGAGAGCGGCATCAGTACGAGTCACCTAAGCCTTCCCGACGCCGAGTTTGCCGACGCAGACGAGACTGAGTTTGATGACCCGTTACCCGCTTTGGGAACCGCCAAAGCTCTCTACGTTTTTGAAGGTATGCAACCATATTATAGATGCATTTTATTTAAATTTAGTTTTCTATTTACTCTTTGTATTCATATGACAATCAAATACTTGACTGCAATTAGATTAGATTAGCGTTTACTGTATTGAAAGTCAATAATTACAGAATTGACAGATAATAGGATTATTGACTTTGATTTAGTGTACAGGGCATAGGCATAGGCACTCAATTTATCATTGTTTGCATTTGTGTGATAAATGAGAATAAAATGATTGTGAATAAATCTGCACTCTATTTAGAATTGTAATATTAATAACATTTGATTTGTGTTTGCATTTCGGGGAACGACAGCTCAAAGCGAAGGCTCGATACCGATGTCCGAGAACGAGGAGTTCGAGGTGGTGGAGCTGGACCAGGGGGACGGGTGGACGCGAGTGCGCCGCCTGGACCACCAGGAGGAAGGATTTGTGCCAACCAGTTATGTAGAGCTCACGCTTTATAACAACTGCTGATGAATACGATTAGGACTTCAAAACTTAGTTTATTATTAATTATTATTGATTATTGAATTCTATTGAGTATTTTTTTGAATTCACTGGTAATTCATATGTTGTTATAATTATTATTATTTTTGTTGTAATAATCAAAGAGAGAGACAAACCGATGGCAACACACGAGCTGTTGATATACCCGACGCTCTACGCACTGCCCGAGCGTTCAGTGTCTGTGTCCATGACTTACGAAAAATTTTGTTTTTTGCTTAAATTTTTCTGCAATTTAATTATGAAATTCTGTGAAAATCTATGAAATTATGACCTTTTTTTATATATCACCAAATTATATATATTTTCTCATAGTTTTTGCTTAATATTTGTTTTGATTATATTTATAATTTAAAAATCCATTTGAAATCACATCTCATCCTAAATGAATGCAAACCATTAGGTGCTCCTCTTGTGTTGAAAGCATACAATCAAATGTCAAATACTATGTAAGAAACGAAAAAACGAAAATCATTTGAATCAAGCGATTGTTATAAGAATTGCAATTATTTTTATTATTATATTATGTTTATTAAGAACTCCGACGAGACTATATTGAGTGCCAGACATTATATTGCAGTATATTATTAAATATAACGCCTTTTTATTATTTATGTAATTATATTGAAAAATGCGAAATAATAATTTCATTATTTTTGATCCCAAATGCAATGTACAGAATTGTTGTTCAAGAATATTCTGTACATAAACTCAAATAAGTGTCAATATTTATCATTTACATTATTATTAATTTCTGTCTTTATTTTTGTGTCCCTATTATTATCCTATTCTCTCTCTCTTTAGGCCTTTTATTGAGAATACTATACAATAATTGTGCGAAAATTTGTGATAAAAAACTCTTTTGATGTTGTAATCAAAGTATAGTCACTGAATATCTTCTCTCATCTCTCTATCGACTATAAAAAAAATATTTTTCTGATTTATTTACAAAACTCGTCGACAAAACATTGAAATTTCAAACACCGCTATCACTTCAATAGTAAATATCCTTTCGATTTGTTGTCTTTAGTAATGGAAATATATATTTGTTTTAAAAGTATATATCCTTTGAATGAATTCACAAACAATGAAAATTTGTTTTGTATGTTATTTACAATAATTGTATAAATATTTAATACTTATATACTATACTGTATTCTCTATACATAACTAAAGAATTTATTTAGTTTTGTACAAACATTGAAATAATATTTATTCATTGTTTGCATTTCACTATTTTGTCGATGAGTTTAGAATTTATTGCTTTAATTTATACTATATTTTTGATTATTAGTAATATTTTTTCAATTAGTATTAGAAATATGAAAAAAGTTGAATAAAAATCACATATTCTTTGGTCATTCAATGAAACTTTTGTGCTCTTTATTCATGATTTTTTATAACTTTTTGATGTAATGCAAGGTTTAGACGCAAACGAAAGTTAATTCTTTATTAAATGACTTCTAAATATAGACGAGAATTATACTAAAATGATAGTCAAACAAATAAATTGAATACAAGGATAGCCTTAATGCCAATAAATCACAGTTTTCTGGGATATAAAAAAATGTTCCGCTTTTGGTGTAAATGTCAATTCGTCTGAACTTTCGCCCATAAGAACTAAATTTAGACTTAATTTGTGAATCAATACTATTAATATTCTGTCTATTATTTAGCTATACATACGGTAAGTGTAACATAAAAGTCATTATCAAATGAGAATAATATCTCAATCAATACACTTCTAATATCGAAAACATAGGCCAAAAGTGTTTTAGTTTTGAACCTTTTTTCACGCTATCTATACCTGAATATCAAATCGATATATGGTTGGCAACAAATGTATTACTAGACTAGAAAAGTGTATTACGTTTTCGTGTTTAGTTGCTATGATTTAAAAAACATATTACAATATAACTAAAAAACTAGTCGTCGATAGTTAACAACTAATTGGAGAGTCGATGCAAAGCCTATGACTTATATTTCATAGGAATAACAAGTGAGAGAATATACTCTGTGTTATTCCAGTGCATTGGTGTCAACACCATTCCCACTATACATACCTGTCATATACGCCCTATGCTCTCGAGTCGACACTTCACATGTAGACACATATCAGCCCACAGATTATGATATGGTAGCTCAAGACATGACCACATTATGCCAGTGATCCCTCTCTAGACATATCTAAATCTGATGGACAACTATGGCTAATACTGGCGGTTCCAGTGGTATTCGTGCTACGACTGGTGTGACAGATATGCAGAACGCCATTACAATCAGCTACATATCATCCAGTACAGATAATGGCACACAATTATCACCCATTTTGCCACCGATTATCAGCACCACATACTATGACGATAGTGGCTCCTGGATGTTCTCTAGTCGTGATATACCGATACTGATCGGTGCAGCAGCAGGTCTGACACCTCATGCAATACCCTATCCAACCATATATTTATACCTAACTGTATTTGTCCCGAACTGTAGGCGCCATCGGACTTATATTGATATTCTTGGCGGCGGCTCTCATATGGCATTGCTGTCAGTTTGCACTCCAACGCGAGAAAAGCAGTTACAGTGAGTTTGTCTTCATTTAGATGCCGTGACCTCTATCTAGATATCCATATACTCGATGCGATGATAACCACTTTGGTGTCCATAACAGGTCTGGAGAACGAGAGCGAGAAGAACAGTGTCGGGAGTCGTGGCTCCAACTTCTACATCAATAACCCGATCGACTCGACGCTCATCAGCGATGAGAAGAGTGCCATTCGAGACCATTCCGATCAAAACCTCAAGAGATCAATGTCTGCACCCATTGACAGGGATAGCAATGTATTAAAGGTGTCATTCACTTGAATCTCAGCATTAGTTTATTGATATGTAATGTCGGATATTCTGTGATGTATTTGCAGAGTAATACTCAGACGCCTGTATGCGTTAAACCAAACGACAAGACCACTCGCGAGCGACTTATTGCGTGCGACAACTCTTACGCCGTCGATATTGAGGACACGATCAGCGATCACCACAAGGACTCGATCTCTATTGGGATGGAACTGAACGACCAAAACGACACAAACCCTCACAGAAGTCACGTGTATATAACTAACCATGGTATTAATGCGGACTTCAATTCATTAAAGTCAAAGAGTCTGCCGTGGAGTCAGTCCAACAAACGCAGGACTGTTACCATCGACGACGAAACGGAGGAATTGGCGGCTAAGGTATAGCGCTGTCGACTATATTCTCGCAATTCTTGTCGAAGAATATTCTTGTGAGCCATGACCCGGTCTAACGAAGGCTTGCATTTCAGATAAAGTTCACCAAAAAGCGTAAGAATCGTATGGCGAACGACAGCGCGGCCGCCATCGCTATGAACAGAAGCGGATCCGACGCTAACCCGAAGACAATGTACTCGCATAAAGACACCGACACTCTCGTGGATAATGAAGCCATAGTTGTTTACGACGAGAGGACTGCCTTATAGACGACAACTCACTACTGATTCCCTTAATTATTAGTCGTAAATATGAAACACTTAACAAAACCATATATTATTTTATAATTTATATTTAATTTTGTAGAAAAAAGTATTTTTTATTCTTTATGTGAGAAAAGATATGATAAATATATATATAATTTGTTATAACTTATAGAGAATATGGGAAACAAATAATTTTGATGAATGTGTTAACCAATAAGCCATAGGAAATAATTAATGATATATTTATGTGCAAAATATTTTAGTGAATATGTTTTGGATGTGTAGAGCACCTGAACGCCAGACGATCCCATATTTTAGTTGATTATAATCAACACAAAAAAATCTTTTATTAATAATAAGGATTTAAACTCATTGATAGTCATCAAATAACTATACTAACGATTACATAGTTTTTTATATACAATTCGTGACAATTGAATATATTATACACTCTTTTGACATATTATATACGAAATTATATACAAATTCTTTGGACCCGTTCTCAGTGACAGTCAATCAAATCCATAGATTTACAAATTAATGCAAATCTCAAATCATATCGAAATAAATCGAGACAAATCTGTGCCCTTTTTATTGTGAAATTTATAGTCCACTCATAACTTTTAAATAATATATTCTGATCTGAAAACAATTACCGATTTATATTACAAATACAGATTAAATCTGAATCTCAAAAATTAACTCATTTTCTAATCACTAAACTTTCACCGATTGTAATGACAAGTGTATGACAAAAACAAATATATTAATTGTGCTCTCATTTCACTCAAACTAACATTCAATAAAAAAGTTAAAAACAACTCGCACCACATTTGAAATACATGTGATATTCTGTGATATATTCTGTAGTATACGTATTCTGTAGTCCACTGACACCACTCACTCTAATGCTGTATAAAACATTTTATGGCAATTTACTCATCAAAATACTTTTATGCATATAATCCTGTTGTCACTACAGAATCGTTTCACAAAAATTTATTATAATTATAAATATTCAAACAGTTGTGGGCAAAGTAGGGTAAACTTAAGACCTATCATAGATTATCAGTGTACTGTAATCCTAGTATGAAAAGCACCAGGCTCACATTAATTATAGCCGCGTCAATTAGATAGTCATAGAAATGTTCATAAATATTTTAGCTAAACTTAATCGTAAATATAATAAATGAAAACTTAATGAACTTATAGCGTATGATTCACATTAGGATTCTGGACTCTAGAATATTCACCATGATCAGTTTGTTAGGGTTCATAGAGGGCTACACTGTAGTGGT